GGGGCGCCGAGGTGGGAAGGGAACTACAGGTCCCGGCATGCATCGCTCTCTGCTTTTCCCGGGGCTGGGGGAAGCGGGGATAGCAAGGCTGAGCTGGTGACCTGAGTCTCAGCCTTTAGAAAGTAGGTAACGAGAGGCTAGAAGTCGCCAGAACCTTCTTTGCGGCCAGGCCAGGGCGCTAAATCGCACATAGGCCTCTGGGCCTGGAAATTACTTTTGTGACCCGCTTCAGGTCCTAGCTAATATTTAACTGCCAGGGATAGGCATGCTCTCGCACCGCCACCCACGAAGGCCACCCGGGGCCTTCCCAGCTGCGGCTGGCATGGAAGGAGCTGGCAGCTTGGTCGCGGGGTCGGAGAGAGGTGAGGGAGGGGCGGCGTCGGAGCAGGCCCGCCCTGGGTGCACGCTGCCAGGGGCCCCCTAGCTGCAGCTCGTGTGCACCGCCGCGCCCGGTCTCTCCCTTCTCCGGCCTTCCCCCCCATCCCCCCGCTGCACGGCGCACGCCGGAGTTGGCGCTGCAGATCCAGCCCCCTGCCCGGGCCCAGGCGCCGCAGGGCTTGGGGTGCGGCCGGGCTGGGGACCCCGAGCCCAGATCACAGGTTCCCAAAGGAGCTGGAAAGATGGCCAACGAGAGGCCCGCGCACCTAGGCCACCCTCCTTGCTAGCGTGCGGCTGCCCTCCTGCTCCCAAACAACGCAGCTGGGTCCTGGAAGGCGATGCAACTGGCCGCCGGCTGCACGACACTCAACTACCGGCCCAGACGCTGCAGAGACGGCCGTTCCCGCCCCGTGTCGCGGCCGGCGACTTTCAGGCTCGGCGGTAGGGCGGCTGCGATTAACGCTCGGGGCTCGGCCGCTCCCAGCAGGCCCTGGGCTCCCCTTGCCCTTATACCTTCAGCACGCCTTCATCCTGCTTGGGGCTGATGTCCACTCCCTCGATGGGCAGCGGCGCCGTCTGCACCCCGCTCTCGACCACCTTCATCTCCTCGGCGGTCATTGCCGCTCGGTGCGCCGTTTACTCTGGGAGCTGGGTGGGCGCGAGCCAAGCCCTCTCGGCTGCCGGCCTGTCTGCACGGGGGTGCGGGCGCTGGCGCCTCGGCCGCGGACCTACAAACTGGTGCAAAGCTCGAGCCACTGCCTGCCGGCGCGCTCGCGGGCCGCAGCGGAGTCTGGCGCGGGAGCGGGAGTAGGTGGGTGCTGAGCGGCCGGGGGAGCGATTGGTCTCACCCGCCGCGGAGGGAGGGGCTGGGAGGAGCCGGAGCGGGAACCGGGGACGGAGAGGGCGGGGGTAGAGAAGTTTCTAGAGACCGCGGCGGCTAAACCAGTTCGGGCTCTAGTGCAAAGGGCGCGTATATAAAAATTTCTAGTTCTGGTTTATTCCTCCTGCTGACTGCCTGGGCTTCCTTCTCCCCTGAGAACCTGAGACTCTGGGGACCGCCCCCTACTCCCGCCGCCCCGCGCGCTCCTGGGCCATCCCTCGCCTGTTTCCCAGTCTAACTGGATTCTTCCAGATCCTTCTTCGTGCCTCTACATCACTCCTATACCTAAACTGCCAACTCAGATCCATCCTATACATTGCAACCCGCAGCGTGGTTTGCTCAGAGCTGTATAGCCAGATGTGAGTGGCAGCGCGTGGGTTTCCCCGACCCGAGATGCGTATTCTTATAAAAGCCGACCGTAAACACAGACAGCGTGGCCTCCCAGTGTTCACTCGACGAGTACACTTAACGAATTGGGGAGGAATAGGGGGAGTCCGCGGGGCGGGAGGGGGAGTGAGTGAGTGAGTAGCGGTTACACCAGTGCACAGTGGGCGAAAGCAACCTTGATTACCCCAGAGCTGGGAAGATGTGCCGCTTTAAGCTCTTTAAAATGTTACGAGCTGCCGATTTGCAAGAAATGACCCGATGAACTAAGGATTCTTAAATGGGGCACGTATTAAAGGAACGTTCCCCGACAATAAAACTGCCCTTTCGGTTAATACTTAAAAAGTGGTTTCAACTCACGAAAAAAGTCATTCCGTTTTACTGAAGCCTTGCGGGAAGGAATATTATCTAATTAATATTTGGTTCTTAAATGTTTATAGACTGCCCGTGGGGTAGAGAGCATCTTTACGGTGAGTCAAAGCTCGGCAACATCTAGTTACCCAAACAATAGCTTTTTGACAAAAAGATCCGTCTACAGAGGGTCTTGATTTTGCCCAGCCCTTAATCTCAGTTTAGCATATTGCCTGGTGTGGTATCAATTATTGGCTATATGAATTTGTATTCTAATAATAATAATAATAATAATTTGGGGGGAGCCCTCGCCATAGGCCCGGCGCTGCGCTGTTGTATGCAATTGTCCCATTTAGTAGGTAATTAAAAGGTCTGTTAACAGATGAAATTTCAATACCATATCATAATTTGATAATTCATCGTAGTCCTTTCTGATGGAACTTCACTGGAAGGAGATGCAGAAGAAATAAAATTGTTGCCTCCAGCACTTTACAACAAATGAGTTTTGCCACAACTAAGACTTTTCTTATTAGATGACTGGGGATACCCTCAGGATATGGGAGGTTGATTCTCTAGAGATTAAATCTATTTCTTTTCTTCACTTTCCTTAGTAGGGTGAGAAGTAACAATGCCAAAGCCCTCCAAAACTCCATGAGACAGGGATGGAGAGGAAGGTGCTGGCTTGTGGGTTTGGCAGTTATCTTGCTGTTGGTTTATGCACCTGCTTATTCTCAGCATGTGCTAGTTTCTTTTGATGCTAGGGCCATTAAGTATTATCTGGCAGAACAAGTTTGGATAGAAAAGTTCACCTTCAGATTAATGCTTTTTTGCATCTTTTTCTTTGTTGGAAGCACACAGCAAAGGTCTTTTTATTACTGTCAGCACACATTAATTGAGCACTTAAGATGTGCCTAACATTGTATGAACACATAATTTAATAACAGTAGAAAGAGCAAATGTGTTGGAGTAAGCAAAGAGTTGGGTTGCCCACATACTAACTGTTCAATTTGGTGCAGGTTACAGGGATAGTAATAGCTGTCAATGAGGGTAGTTGTGATGGTTAAAGAAGAGGGAATATATGTCAGGTATCTAGCTAGTGCCTGCCTTCAAGGCGATGGTTAATAAATTATGGTCATGATTCTAAAGTGGTAAGTGCTATGGTGGGAATGCAGACAAAGTGCTAAAAATTCAGAGGTCTATAAGAGAGGGGAAAGATAGCGTGGAAGGGGAAGGACAAGAGAGAAAGGTTTCTAGCAAGAAAGTTCTTTCCCCATTCAGTGAATGAGTAGGTGAGGGGGCTGGGAGGTGGAAGGGAGAGGGGAGGGGCAGTAGGAGTTAGGTTCTTGAATCCCAGAGCCAGACCTTATTGTTTCTGGAATTTTTTCTGGTTATTTACATTATATTCTTCTGATTGTAAAACTTACACATATTCAATGTAGAAAGTACAGAGATGTTTTGTTCTTTCCCTCCTCTTCCTTACTCCTTTCCTAGCCCGTTTAAATTAGTATTCTCATCAAAGATATTTAAGTGTAATTATTTTCACTGATATCATTGTCATTCAAAATCCTTCCAAAATATTCCCTTTCGCTAGAGAAAGACAGAACACATTTTTTTTTTTTTAATCATCTACCTTACTCTATAGATGACTCATGCTGTGGTTGCTGTGGTTAGAAGTCATCTATAGAGTAAGGTAGATGATTTTTTTTTAAAAAAGGCCAAAATGAGCCTTTCTAAGCTCATCCAATTCACATTTCTAGTGGTAGGCCCATCCTTCACAGATGAAGACCTCCTTGTTTTTTAAAGTTGCTATTTTGACCTTAGACTACCAGTGCTCTTAAATATTTTAAAAAAATTATATAATATTTGAATCATTCAAAAGAATGTGAGGTATGTGTGTGTGTATCTACATGTACGTACACATGTTACATAACATGCCAACGTAGTGAACCTTGGTAATACATCACCCAACTTAAGAATTAGAACATTATCAATATGATTTGTGTCAAAAATGTAATACCAAAAATGTTAAGGACCCTTATATAATTTCTTGCTACGTTTGCTGTCTGTTTATTGAGAAAATACAACTATACCACTGACCAAAACAGCTACTACACATTTCATAAAATATTTACTCATTTTAGTGATGACAGTTCCATTTTCATCATTTGAAAAACAGTAGACCTCTATGTAAAGTCTGCACGTGATGCATGGGCTCCAGATTGGGTTTACATGGTTTGAAACCTCAGCTGCATCATTCAATACACCATGGATACTTGGGCAACGGTATGAGGTCTGTGTCTAGATTCATTTTTTTGCTTGTGAATGTCCAGTTCCAGCACCATTTTTTGAAAAGGCTATTTTTGTTCCATTGTATTGCCCTTGCTCCTTTGTCAAAGATCAGTTGACTATATTTATGTGAGTCTATTTCTGGCCTGCATTTTCTGTTGCATTGATCTACTTGTCTGTACTTTCACGAAAACCACACTGTCTTGATTACTGTGACTATAGTAAGTCTTAAAGTCTGGTAGTAGCAATCCTACAACTTTGTTTTTCTCCTTCAATATTGTGTTGGCTATTCTGGGTCTTTTGCCTCTTCATATAAACTTTAGAAGTTTGTCAATATCTACAAATTAACTTGCGGGGATTTTGATTGAGACTGCATTGAATCTATAGATCAAGTTTGGAAGAACTGACATCTTGACAATGTTGAGTCTTCCTATCCATGAACATGGGCTATCTCCCCATTTATTTAATTCTTTGATTTTCTTCATCAGAGTTTGGTAGGTTTCCTCATACAGATATTGTACATATTTTGTTAGATTTATACCTAGCTATTTTATTTTGTGGGGTGCTAATGTAAAAGGTATCATGTTTTTAATTTCAAATTTCACTTGTTCATTGATGGTATATAGGGGAGGTATTAACTTTTGCATCTAAACCTGTATCCTGCCATCTTGCTCTAACTTCTTATTGGTTCTATTATTTTTTTTATTATTATTATTTTGGATTTTCGACATGAATGATCATCTGTGAACAAAGATAGTTTTATTTCCTTCCCAATTTTGGTTAGTGATTTTTTTTATGTGTGTCTTGTTTAAAAAAACCTTTTCCTCTTCCAAGGTCAAGAAGATAGTCCTTCCCTTTTGTGTTAGTCTCCTTTTTATGTTTGCTTTTTTAAATTCTAGAAGCTCTTTTTTCACATTTAGGTCTGTGATCCACCTCCAATCAATTTTTACATATGGAGTGAGGATAGATTCAAAGTATTTTTTTCCATATAGATGTACAATTGACCTGGCAACATTTATTCAAAGACTGCTTTTCTTCACTGAACTGTGATTACTTCTTTGACATCCATCAGATGTGACCATGTATTTATGTTTGTTTGTGGACTCTGTTTTGTTCCAGTGGTCTGTTAATCTATCTTTGTGCCAATACCTTAGTATCTTAGTTGCTGTAGCTTTAAAATAAGTTTTGATATCTGATAGTATAAGTCTCCTAGCTTTGTTCTTCTAAGATTGCCTTGGCTTTCCTAGGTTTTTTTAAATTTTCTATATACATTTTAGAGTCACCTTGTCAATGTCTAAAAAAAATGCTGGTATTCTGATTGGGATTCCGTTGACTTTACGCATAAAATTAGGGAGATTTGACATCTTAAATACCGAGTCTTCTAATCCGAGAATATGATATATTCCTCCATCTATTTAGGTATTCTTTATTTTTTTTCAGCAATGTTATGCTTTATATTTTTCAGTATAAAGATCTTGCTCATCTCTTATTAGATTTATTCGTAGGTATTTTTGGTTTTGGCGCTATTTTAAACACTGTTTTCAAAAGCTGATTTTCTGATTGTTGCCAGTATATAGAGTGCAACTGATTTTTTATTTTTATTTATATAATTGTGGTAAAATATACATAACATGAAATTTACCGTTTTAACCATTTTTATGTGTATAATATAGTGGCATTAAGTACATTCACATTGTACAAACATGCAAATAATTTCTTTTGGTAAAAGCTTTATTGAAATAGAATTCAGATGCCATATGATTCATCCATTTAAAGTGTACAGTTCAACGGCTTTTAGTATATCCACAAAGTTGTGCCACTATCACCACAATCAAGTATAGAATATTTTTATCACTGTATTCTTTAGCTCTTACTTCCCAGCCTTCCCCAGTACCCAGACCCTGGCAACCACTAATCTACTTT